GGGTGCATTAACCTCTTCTTCAACAATGCTCCCGAACAAAGGAAGTACTGTATGTGTTTATGTGTGCGCCCGAGTTTGCGTGTGTGCGTTTGCTTTTCTGCCACGCCCACACACTGTCCATCCCCTGCATCAACACACACGCACACACACACACATACTAGTCTGTCTGCCACAGATGATCAGAAAAATATTGACTGTTGTCTTGTGTGCACATCAGTCATCGCCCAGCATGTGTGTGTTTGTTGGGTTGTACTTAAATATATTTACTAAGATGTGCTTTATTCACAGCAGTTATGGTCTGATGTGCTCTCTTTAAACCAGCGGTGCGCAGCCTCTTGTGCTCCCCGGACGGTTTAACGTCAGACCGTCACGGAGCGGCCTTTAAGGTGTGGCGGACAAATGCAACAACAAAATGATACGACCGAGAGAACCGCGGCGGTATTTTGTAACTATAACGGTAAACGTGAATTCACCGTGAGTCTGTATTAGCAGCGTGCTCCTGAAACGCGCCAACACTGACGGTAACGTCCTCCTCTCTGCCCCTTAATGCTCTCTGGTCGCTATGGTAACGGGTACATATTTCTTTCAAGATAAGACGCACCTACAAAACAAATATAAAGTACATGAAAATATATACTTCACCGTAATGCTAAATCGATGAGAGCCCTGTGCTTGTTTCTCTGCACCGAGGCGCTCACACCTGGGTATAGTCGGGGGCGATGATTTAGTTTTTCTTTGCCACCAAAGAAAAAAAAACAGAACGTTATTCATAACGCAGGGGGAAAGACCCAGGAAAACCGAGTTAACGATAAACCCCCTGAAAACCATACATTTCACACCCGAGCCTCAACTCTCGCGGCCCGGGGGTGGGGGCGGCTGCTTTAGACTGTAATGTGGTCGATGCTCTCATCAGCAGTAAGTGTGTGACGTTGCTTTATGAACATCTGCTTTGTTTTGCTTGAAATTACAAAATACCTGATTGTAATAAGACAAACACAGCAGACGATGTCTCACACTCATGGCCCTAGCCTTACCCTGTATCTTTAATGCTGCTGCTGTTTAGTTCATTAAGAACTGTGATTTTCAGACACAGTTGGTTAGCCGACTCTTACCTGATGGTTTGAAGACCATTCCTGACGTGATCATTATATGACACATTTTTGTAGTGCCACAGTAGTATTACGTTAGCATCCCACATCATATAAATGTTCTCGTGTGATTTATTTATACAAAATGTCTTGATGAGTTGTTCCTGCTGACATTAGTGGAAGATGATCGAGTAGAGACCATGTGGAAATAACTGCTGACTGCAGCAGTGTGGAGTTGACTGTGCAACTTCACTTTTTAAAGCATCATTTCTACTTGGTATCAATGTTTGGCTGCAATTACATGCAACTGTTTAGTAAACTGCAAGAACATTATTATTCAATCTTCAGTTCAACTGAATTCCCTTTTATTTATGCAATACCAAATCACTACAAGTATTCCCTCAAAGTGCTTTGTGTTGTAAGGTCAAGACTCAACCATAATACAAAGAAGAAAAGAAAACCCCAACAATCACAGCAAGCTCCAGTGGGAAGGAAAAACTCCCTTTTAACAGGAAGAACCCTCCAGCACAACCAGAATAAGGGAGGGGCGGGGCCATCTGCTGCGACTGGTCAGTGTGAAGGGAGAGAGCCAGAGATTAATAATTACTATTAACTGAATGCAGAAGTGTGTATTAACACCTAATGAGTGAAAAAAAAGGTGAGTGAAGAAGAAACACCCAGTGCATCATGGGAATCCCCCGGCAGCCTACGTCTATTGCAGCATAACTAAGGGAGGATTCAGGGTCACCTGGTCCAGCCCTAACTATATGCTTTAGCAAAAAGGAAAGTTTG